GGTAGTCCTCCAGGCCCACCACCGACACCGTGACGGTGCCCAGCGTGGACAGTGGCATCGGGGTGCCCAGGTCCGAGGCGCGCACCGTGAGCTCCAGCGTGGCCTGGGGCCTGGCTCGCAGCGGCTTCTCCAGGCGGATCACGCCCGTGGTGGCGTCGATGGAAAAGTGGCCTTCCGCTGAGTCGGTCAGGGAGTAAACCACCTGGGCATTGGCACCTGCGAGAGACCAAGGGAGCGGTTCATGCTGAGGGCGCCTCCTCCGGCCCAGCCTGCAAAAGCTGCGACCGCGAGGGGACAGGGAGGAGCTCCCCGGGAAGGCGAACGTGTTCGGGGTACATTTGGGTGAGGACCTCTCCAGCAGGGACCTCGACTGGGGGCGTGCAAGGCCTCACTGAAAGGTTCTTGTGGGGAGGGTGGTGGCTTGGTCTGCAGAACGTATCAAATGATCTGAGAATGTTATGTGGAAGCTAGGATCCGATGTCAGCTCATAAATGAAAAGTGTGCAAGATAAAACCACCCGGAGCAAGTTCCTTGGTTGAGGTAGCCAGTTCTATCACTTGATTGTAGTATTGATTACAGAAATCTAAACAGGATAATATTGCATGGAACACACACAAATTAGTGCATATAAAAACTGGTGACATCAGAATAGGACTTGTGGTCCAGTTACCAGCGATGTCCCAATGTCAATTTTCTGGTTTTGACATAATACAGCTAGGTAAGATGCTGCCCCTGGGGCAGCCTGGTGAAGGGAGCACTCTGCTGTTCTTTTTGCAACTTTCTTTGAGACTGTTATTATAGCAAAAAGTTAAGAAAACAAACACACCCTTGGAAGTTCTAAGTAAATCAAGATACACGGTGTTTCTCCAGCTTTGTCTCTGATTCTGTTATTTTCTTTGGTTAAGGTCAAGATGAAGCAGCTGGCTTGGACAGGGGCCATAGTACATGAAAAACACCAACATTCAATGCTCAGTTGTGAGATCCTCACCCAGTGAGATGAACACATCTCGCACACTCACGGGACACACACCCTTCAGTGGAATGTGGCAGGAATTGCCTATGACAAGAGCTGAATTTATATTTGTTAAATGCACTTATCATGCAACTTCCTCATATGCATTTTTCTAGAGAAAGGAAGATGCTGGTCAGGCCACACATGGATTATTTAGGTGGAATATTTGAGTTAGAATAACCATTTTTGAAGAATTAATGGAAAACTGGTACAAAACCAGAGGGTGTGTCTTACAAGAAAGGTGGGATTGGAACGATGTGGGCTCTTCCAGAAAGGGAGGCTGAGGCTGGAGCAGGTAGTCATCATCTCCGAGTGTCAGAAGGGCTGTCTTGGGCAAGGGGTCTAGGAGGCCTGTGTAACTGCAGAGGGCAGGACCAAGACCGACAGGTGTAGCCTTTGAACTGGCTGCCTCAACCAAGGAACTTGCTACAGGTGATTTTACCTTGCACACTTTTCATTTATGAGCTGACATTGGACCCTAACCCCAACATAACATTCAAAATGATGTTCTGAGGAAGCATGGAAGAAAGGGGCTGCCTGGGAAGTAGTGAGCTTCCTGTCCTTGGAGGTGTGCAGACAATAGCTAATTGAGCATTTACAGGGCCTTGTAGCCATTCCATGGAGGGCTAGAGGAAATGGCCTGTGGGTCAACCCAGCTCCATCGTATCTGGATCCGTCCTAGCCAACCCAGCTCTGAATCTTGAACAAGTCTGCCTAGTTGCAAGTGCTACCCGCGACACACACACACATACACAAACACACATACATTTCCCAGGTCCAGCTTCCCTCCAGAACCCTGCACCCCAGAATCTCTCACCTCCTTCGATGCTCACCTAAAACTCACTTCTTCTAGGAAGTTTTAACTTTACTCTGCTGGTGTCAAAGCAGAGTTTTGTGATCCCTCTTCCATCATCATCATTTCCTATGTGGAGTTGGCTACTTTGACCCTGAAGGCATTTTTTACTGTTTGAATTACATAATTTGACTCATGAAAATTAGATTATATATAATATGTGTGTGTGTGTGTGTGTGTGTGTGTGTGTGTGTGTGTGTGTGTATAGATATATCTCCACAGGACATTTCATGGTGGCAGAAGCTATAATTGGTGTCATATGGAACAAATACTCTTGGATCAATCCAAGTTGCTTTGTAAATGTCAAAAGGAAAAGAATTAACCCCAATGACAATAATGTCATCAAGATTAAAATATAAAATACTGGAAAAGGTTTCACTTTACTGTCCAGAAAATTGATTAAGGAATTTAATAGATTTGGTGGGGTTTGTGCTGAAAATTCCTTTTTTTGTTACAAGTTAATCAGAGTTGAATAATTCTGACTGGTATATTTCTAACTGTTTGTATTCAAAATGCCCTTGATGTTAAATGGCAGTATTGAAAAGCCCTCCAGTCTACATGGCAGGGACAAGCAAGGAAGCTGAGATGGCTTATGTCCTGCCTCAAAACATTGCTAAAATCATTTGTCACATAGCACTTAGGTATGTGATTTAGAGACAAACATTTTATACTTTTACATGTCCATAGTCAACAACGAGGCTCAACCCTTATCAGTCCCAGATAGACACAGGGAAAGCCAAATCCTCACCCAAGGTGACCCAGGAGATTATGGCAGTAGCCTCCAATCTTTCCCAGACTCACCTTGGTCAGGATCCCGGGCAAACACCACAGCCACGGGAGTCTTCACTGTGGTGTTGTCGAAAACAGCCACTGCACAATGGCTGGGGAAGAATCGTGGGGCATTGTCATTCACATCCTCCACGTGCAGGGTCACATCTGCCTGGCACGATCGGCCACCTCCATCCGTTGCCTTGGCAACAAGGCTGTACACATCCTTCCTCTCGCGGTCTAGGGCTGTGAGTGTGGTCAGCTCCCCTGGCGGAGAAATGACAGAGCTGAGCTTCCTCCGGGGAACATCACCCTAGCATGTACCCTTTAGCTATCTTACAGGAGGCACACGGAGTTTGCCACAGCAAGTAGGGATCAGCACAACCAGGAGAGAAACCCAGCCTGTATCCATCCCCCAACACCCACCCACCTCCCGATTCTCCCAAACATACTCCTCCACCACCATCGCAGACTTGAGATCATCACCAACAAGCTACAAATAGGCACAACACTTTTAAAAGCCAATTAGGCCATTTCTAACAACATATAAAATGTGTTTATCCTTTGGCTCATAATTTCACTTCTAGGAATGTGTATATCCTATAGAGTAATTAACCGAAAGGTAAAAATATATAAGGATATTCACTGCATCATTGTTTATAATAGCAACATATTGAAATCATCCTACATATCTTTCAACAAGGTACTGGAGCTGGGAGCAGTCGCTCATGCTTGTAATCCCAACGCTTTGGGAAGCAGAAGCAAGATGATCCCTGAGCCCAGGGGTTTGAGACCAGCTGGGGCAACTTGGTGAGACCTCGTCTCTACAATTGAAAAAAAAAAATCACCAGGCACATTGGCTAAAGCCTGTAATCCTAGCACGTTGGGAGGCTGGGGTGAGAGGATGGCCTGAGCCCACGGATTCAAGAACAGCCTGGGCAACTTGGCAGGACCTTGTCTCTACAATAAATCAAAAAATAAGCCTGGTGTGGTAACGCTCGCCTGTAGTTCCAGCTATTTGGAAGACTGAGGCGGAAGGATTGCCTGAGCCCAGGGGGTCGAGGCTGTGGTGGCCATGAGCATGCCACTGCACTCCAGCCTGGGCGACAGAGTGAGACTCCAACTCAAAGAAAAAAAAAAAAAGGAACTGGTTAACTATATTGTGATTTAAGCCATACGGTAAAATACTGTATAACCAAAAATGAATTATGACAAAGCTTGAAGAAATTACTAAGTGAAGAAAAGCAAATTACAAAATAGTATTCTATCTTCATGAAATAATTATTTAGAAATTTTGGAGAACTCGTATGATAGAACATATACCAAGAGGCGTATCTTCAAAGGAAGGGGTCATTATATAGACTTCTCAGTTTATGCATAATATAAACCTACATTGTTTGAGTTTTATATCCTGAGCACATATTTTATACTCAGAATAACCACCTCAGTTTTTTTTTTAAGTCCTCACTGCTCACCCTGCAGCTGAAAAAACACCAGCAGTCAGAGGTCGGGTCATCTGCCGGGTCACTCAGCACACCCGTGCTGGGGTCAGGAAGGACAGCATGGTTTTCTGTCACTCAGCGTCCCGGGACACCATTCTCCCCTGCCACCCCCGTCAGGAATCTCCAGATCACCCTTGCAACTACTGGGTCTGAGCCAAGGGTCAGCCCCCAGCCCTTGTGACCTGGGTCTCATGCCTCTCCCTCATACCTTCACTGTAGCAAGAATCCCTCCCTGGTGGGCTGCCTTCCAGAGAAAGTCCTATCCACCAGACTCTCACAGCCCAACTCTCCTGGGCACCTGCAACCTTCCTTGCAGGGCCCTCTGCTTCCCACGCTCTGCTCTATCTCCCAACTGGTAACAATGTGACAATGGCAACCACATCCACTGAGCTCTCACTGTGAGCTGGCCTGGGCCTGGCTTCCCTGTGTTTTACTCCTGGTGAGACTCACAATACTCCATGAGGTCTGGTTCCCATTGTGCTGTATAGATACCTTAGAACATCTCCACGATCGTGACAGTGACCAGCCTAAATCCCCCCATGGCTCTGAAGGTCCCACCTGCCCTGCACTTCATTCCCTGCCCCCTTCACAGGCACCAGTTTGTGACCATCTATCAGGTCCTCGGATGTGCATGCTCTTCCCCAAAACAAAGTCTGTGCACAAATTCTCCTGCTGCCTTGAAAGCCCTCCCCAGCCAGGCATGGTGGTGGCTCACGCCTATAATCCCAGCACTTTGGGAGGCAGAGATGAGAGGACTGCCTGAGCCCAGGGGTTCGAGACCAGCCTTGAAACCTTGGCGAGACCTCGTCCCTACAATAAATAAAAAAATTAGCTGGGCATGGTGGTACATGCCTGTAGTTCCAGCTACTTGGAAGGCTGAGGTGGACTTACCACCTGAACCCAGAAGGTTGAGACTGCAGTGGCCGTGAGCATACCACTGCACTCTAGCCTGGGTGACAGAGTGAGACTTCAACTCAAAAAAACAAAAAAAAGAGAAAGAAAGCCCTTCCCTGCTACTCCCTTCCCCCTTGGCCAAGTCCTCTGTCCCTAAGCATCACAGAAAGTGGCATTTTCTCAGGGAAGTTTTACTGTGTCCCACTCCGAAGCCCACATCAAGTTTGCTGTCAAATATCCTCATAACAAAAATTAAAAAATCAAGATGTCAGCTCACTAAAAAAAAAGAAAAAGAAAAATCTCCATAGCATCCTGTATTTTTTCTTTTCTTTTTTTTTTTTTGAGTCAGAATCTCATTCTGTCACCGAGGCTGGAGTGCACGCTCATGGCCATGGCGGCCTCAACCTGCTGGGTTCAGATGATCCTTCTGTGTCAGCCTGCCAAGTAGCTGGAACTACAGGTCTACACCACCAAGCCTGGCTAATTTTTTGATTTATTGTAGGGACGAAATCTCACCATGTTGCCTAGGCTGATCTCAAACCCATGGGTTCAGGCAATCCTCTCGCCTCTGCCTCCCAAAGTGCTCGGATTACAGGCATGAGCCACTGCGCCCAGCCTGTATTTCTTAACTCAGCACATTTCAAACAACTGGTTCAACGACTGCCTTTCCCACTGGATTGTAAACATTCAGCTCTTGTTAAGATTTTTTTGTTTGTTTGTTTGTTTTTTGAGACAGAGAGGGTCTTGTTCTGTCACCTGGGCTGGAGTACAGTGACATGATCATAGTTCACTATTGCCTCAACCTCCTGGGCTCAAGCAATCTTTCCACCTCAGCCTCCTGAGGAGCTAGGACTATAGGCACACACCACCATGCCAGGCTAATTTTTACTTTTATTTTTTACAGAGGCAGAGCCTTACTCTGTTGCCCAGGCTGGAGTGGAGTGGCACAATCACGGCTCACTATAGCCTCAAACTCCTGGGCTCAAGTGATCTTCTGCCTCGGCCTCCCAAGGTGTTGGGATTACAGATGTGAGCCACCATGGCTGGCCTCCCAGTCTGTCGATTTGGTACAATGCTTGGCATGTTATGTGCCACTATGTTTGCTGATGGATAGGCGAATGCATAAGTGAATTCCCGCTTCTCTAATGAGACAACCATGGCATTGGACGTTTGGGATTCAGTAAATTAATTACGGACTCCATCCTGCAGCCCAAGAAACCCACCTGTATGAGGATCCAGCTTGAATTCATGTGCTGCGGGGCCATGCAGAGAGTATGTGATCTGAGCATTGGCATCAGTGTCCAAGTCTGTGGCGGAAAACTTCAGAACGAAGTGTCCTGGGAACACATCTTCACGGACCTTGCTGGTATAGAGAAGCTGGAGGTAGGAGGACAGACACGGGAGATTGTGGGAGCTGTGCTTAGATCCAGAGAGAAGCAGAGGTACAGAGAGAGGAAGGGAGGATCACACAGACAGCCCAAGAGAGCAGAAATGGACAGAGACAGAGATAGAGGAGCAGAGAGAAGTAGGAGCACAGAGAGGGCCTTAGAGAGCAGAGATGGACAGAGACAGAAACAGAGATGGGCAGAGACAGAGAAAGAGGAGCAGAGAGAGGAAAGGAGGGGGAAGCCAGTAAGATGAAACATGCAAGGAAAATGGTGATACAAACCAGAATAGGGTGGCAAGAACAAGTGAGATGAGCCACTGTCCAAGAGCCCACCTGGGGCTGGAGGGACCTGCCACGGACCTTCCCACAAAGACCCTTTGGGGTTTCTGTTTGAGGCAGGTGAGGTGGGGCAACATGAGACATTCCAGGAGATATTTAAGTACATGCTTGCGTTTACCTACAGACATTTGCCTGAGTATATTGGGTTGCAGACAATGCTTTGTGTGTATATAGGTGAATGTGTAAGTGTGCATTTATGTACATATACTTGATGGCTGGATTTTATATATGTATGAATTATGCTAATTTGAGATGTCAGAAAATAAAAGTGGGAGCAGTTTAACTTGATTTGCAAACTTTGAAATAATGCAGTTCCTTCCAAAGTTAAACAAAGTAGGTTTAAAAAGCCCGTGTAATTCCAGCACTTTGGGAGGCCAAGGTGAGAGGATTTTCTGAGTCCGGGGATTCAAGACCAGCTTGGGCAACTTGGCAAGATCTCAACTCTACAATAAATCAAAAAATTAGCCAGGTGTGGTGGCGCCTGCCTGTAGTTCCAGTTACTTGGAAGGCTGAGGCAGAAGGATCGCTTGAACCCAGCAGGTTGAGGCTGCAGTGGCTGTGAGTGTGCCACTGCACTCCAGCCTGGGCAATAAAGTGAGTCTCCAACTCAAAAATAAAAATAAAAAATAAAATAAAAGTGAGGCCAGGCTTAGTGGCTCAGCCTGTAATCCCAGCACTTTGGGAGGCCAAGGTGAGTGGATTGCCTGAGCCCATGGGTTTGAGACCAGCCCAGGCAACTTGACGAGACCTCATCTCTACAATAAATTTTTTTAAAAAATTAACCAGGCATGGTAGCACATGCCTGTAGTTCCGGCTACTTGGAAGACTGAGGCAGAAAGATCACTGGAGCCCAGCAGGTTGACACTGGGGTGGCCATGAGCGTGCCACTGCACCCCAGCCTGGGTGATGGAGTGAGACTCCAACTAAATAAAATAAAATAAAATAAAAGTGAAACTCCATAACAGTAACTGTTGGTCTATGCCCTCTAAGAATACACATCCTCTCCTGATGAGCACACACCCCCCCCAACCCAGCATTTGTTCCCATGGGACATTTAGGGTTGAATTATGTGGGGTTCTTAGGGAAGTATCCCTCACCAAATGTAGCTGCCCTGCCTGCATGTTTATGTCTGTGTCTGAGTGAAGGAGAACATCTGCATTGGGCTATATCATCCAAGCAGACTTGGGAGGTGTGTGTATGGGTGTGGGGAGGGGTGTGTCTGAGACAAGGGTCTATGGATGTATTGTGTGCTAGGGAACCATGTCAACAAGCTGAACAGTGGCGGAGCAGGGGGAGGTATGGCTGACTATGTGTGGAGAACGCATATCTTACTTTACTTCTGGGTCTGTTTGCAGAGAAATGGAACTCCGTAGGGAGTGTAAGGGGAGAGATGCGGACCATAATTCTTGAGCAGCTTGAGATATCCCTATGGGGGATTAAGGAATTGCCTAGAAGGGTCTCTACACCAGGCCTCTAGTCTGAAACCCCCTGGGAAGAAGCATTTGTCTATGGATCCAATACATCCATAGATACCTGCCCCAGACAACCCTCTCCGTGTCCATGTACACATGGGGCAGTGACGGGGGCCTCAGAGATGCTACCCTGGACCTGTCTCCTTTCTCCTGCCCTCATTTTACCTTCCTTGCCTCCACTTCCCACTCTGCCTTCACCAGGCCCTCACCTGTGAGCACTGTGGGCTATTATCATTGACGTCCAGGATGAAGACCTCCACGTTGACGGAAGCCTGGAATTTGCCGTCCGATGCTGTGACTCTGAGCAAGTACTTGGCTGTGTGCTCACGGTCCAGAGTCTTCCTTGAGGAAATCCTCCACTCATCCCCAACTTGGCTGATGCCAAACTGGCCCAGAGGGTCTCCCTCTAAAAAGATGGGGCAGAGCTTTCAGGAGCTGGGCAGTGGGAATGTATCAGGCTTTGTGTCCTAGGCAGCTGCCTGTCAGACACTTTCTTAGGCTTGTCAGATCAGGAAAGGCAAACATATCCTCCCCTAACTAGGAACCTACAGTTCTAGAGTCTGGTTTTAGGTGTTATAAAGTCTCATCTGACTTCAAAGTCCTCCTGTTAAGTGAAATTATCACTGCTAGAAGCACCACACCAAAATAAGTGGCTACAGGCAGGTGTCTAGAAGGCATTGGAGGAAGTCAAAGCAATTGTCAAAATCAACAGATTTCAATTCTATCCATGAAATTTCTGACATCTATAGCTGTTCAACAGCAGATGGGAGGGAAGTGACCAACAACAACAAACACTCTGGGTTTTTATTTTACAACTGAGGACATGACCCAGGTAGAGGCCCAGGAGCATCACTGGGTCTGCTTCTACATTGTCTTTCTCCTCTTGACACTAGTCACTGACTAGGGGGTGAGCAGGCAAATTTCTTACTCTATGATCCCAAGGCTCCAGAGCTCCAAGATTCAACTATGTTAAGTGTTGATAACATATTGATATTTATTATTCTATTATTCTGAGATTTTAAAACTTTTTTTGTTTTCAAGAGTCTGGTATTATGAGAAGATAAAATTCTATTTTCCTAAGACTGTCTTTCAAGCAGCTCAGATTCTGCCTGTCTTTAAGCATCTACGGGTCTTGGTTGAAACTCGGGGCTCATGAATAACCCGCTGGGCAGCTATGATGGCAGAAGGAGCCATGTTGATGGGATGGGTTGACATGGCACCTGGGCATGGGAACAAAAGGACACTGAGAAGTGAGGAAACTCTGTCATGGCCACTGGTTGGTAGGGAGTGGGGTAGTTTAGTTTTATAGCAGGTATCCATTGAGGTAAACAGTCATAGGGTATGGTTTAATCCCAGCCCCCAATGCAAGCTCAGATTGTGACATTGGTTGAATTTCTCCCCCAACTGGGCCTTGATTTCACCATATGTGAATGAGGGGGTTGAGCTGGAATCATATCTAAGGAAGTGCTGTCACTCAAACACTTAGGTCCTGAGATTGACTAAGAAGCATGTTCTGTCATCCAAACTTACCCTGGGCAGGACACCTGACAGAATTGTCATGCATCACACAACATTGGTGCCTCCTCCATCTTCCAGAGGATAACTGACAGCAGTGAATTAGAGTATGATACTTCTATTCCATTTACCCTACCTAAAATAATTTGATATACTTTGTGCAGATCACATTCTAATTTCTAAGGGCTGACTATAAATTAGAGATCTTACCAGCATCCCTGAGCAACTGAGGTCCTAAGGGGTTAGGAGATTTGCCCAAGGTCACACTACTAATAAGTGGCAGAGCAGGACTTGAGCCCATGTCTTAGGGCACCTCTTACCAGACTTTTTTCCATGCACGTCTGTGCCTCCAATCTATGACACGTTTACTTACCTGTGATGTAGCAGGTGACCTGTCTGTTCTGCTCAGAGATGTCAGCATCCAGGGTCTTCAGAGTGACCACAAGTTCACCAGGCTCACTGTTCTCAACCACAGAGCCTCTGTAGTCTTCAGAAGCAAATTGGGGAGCATTGTCATTCTCATCTGTAATGGAGACCTCAACCAGGGCCTGAGAAGACAGCTGGATGGTTTGGCCATGGTCATAGGCCACCACATAAAAACGGTAAGTCTGGTGGGTCTCACAGTCAAGTTCCTGGAGTGTGGTGATCCAGCCATTCTCACCATCAATGGCAAAGAGCTCATGGACATTGCTACCAGGGTCTGTTGACAGCCTGTAGCTTACCTGACCATCTCTCCCAGTGTCCTGGTCAATGGCAGTCACTTGAATGACTGAGGTCCCCACAGGCATATTCTCAGTGAGGATGGCCTTATATGGATCAGCCTCAAATACAGGACTATTGTCATTGACATCTTTCACTTGGATGTTGACTGAGACCAAGGACATCAACTCAGTCTTATGTGGGCAATATGCCATCACGTCGATCTGGTACAGTTTGGTGGACTCGTGGTCCATGGGCTTCTTCACCTTAATGACCCCTGTGTCTCGATCCAAGGAGAAGACCCCATCCTTGTTGCTCTCTGGTGTGGTGCCCTGCACTAGACTGTAGATGACTGGGTCTTTAGCTGTCACTGCTTTAACAGATCCAATTTCAGACCCTTCTGGAAAGTCTTCAGATGCAGAGAAAGTATACAGAGGTTCAGAAAATTTGGGCAAGGAAACTTCATGAGGGACCACCTGAAGTCGTACAGGCACCTGAGAGTCCCAGTGAGGAGGGCCCCCATCCTGGGCTTTAATGATGCAGTCAATGGTCCGATTTTCCAATCCTACCAGGCTCCCCTTCACCTTAATCACACCGGTGGTTGGGTGAATCTTAATTACCCCTTCAGCCAGGTTCTCCCCATACACTGAGTAGGTGACATCTGCATTCTGACCTTCATCTGCATCATAGGCCAGCACCTGCATAACCGAGTAGTCTTTACTGACGTTGGATTGAATGGACACGATGTACTCAGATGCTTTGAACTGTGGGGGGTTGTCATTTTCATCTGTGAGGATGATCTTCACCGTGCAGAAGGCCACTCTTCCCCCTCCATCCCGAGCCATGACCTTAATAGCAATGACCCTTTCTGTCGAATTTTCCCGATCCAGTTTCTGCAGTGTGGTGATCTGGCCCCTGGGGTTTATGGAGAACTTCTCATCTGCTAGTTTATTGATGATAGTATAATCCACAGTGCCATAGGGACCGCTGTCTTTGTCTATGGCTAACAACTCGATCACCTTGGTTCCCACCTTTGCATTCTCTGCTAATTCTGCCTCATAAAGGTGCTGCTGGAACTCTGGGCTGTACTTGTTGGCATTTGTGGTGTTGATATACACAGGCACGGTTGCTCGGAAGACTCCGTCAGAAGCACCTACTCTCAAATTGTAAGAAGAGTCCAGGTGTTTTTTGCAAAGGTTGAGCATAGAAATTATTCCTGTTGAGCTGTTAATGGAGAAGTGCCTGTCCTGATTGCCAGAGAGAATCAGGTACTCCAGGCGGGAGGTATCCCCACTGTCGGGGTCAAGAGCTTGGACTTTAAGAACCAGGTGTCCACAGGTGGCCAGCTCACTGACATTGGCTTCATATTGTGGTTGTCTGAACTCGGGGGGGTTGTCATTAACGTCAGACACATTGACCACCACGAGGGTTTCGCCAGTGAGCGGGGGATCTCCCTTATCCATGGCCCTGACTTTCACACGAAAGTGTTGTCGGGCTTCATAATCTAGCTCTTGAACTGTGGACAGCTCCCCAGTGCTCCCATTGATCTGGAAGAATTTGGAAACATCCGAGCCATCCTCCACAATCTGATAAGAGACATCCTGGTTCTGCCCGGAGTCCTGGTCAAAAGCCAACAGCTGGATCACAGGAGTCTGAGCAGGCAAGCCTTCTGAGACCGAAGTGGTATAGACCAATTGGGAGAACGTGGGTGGGTTGTCATTGATGTCCTCCACCAGGACTTCCACGGTGGCTTCAGAAAATGACCCCAGAGCTGTGTCTGTGGCTCTGACTGTGAACACGTGTTTGGTCTTGGACTCGTAGTCCAAAGGGCCCGTTACTGTTAGGACGCCAGTCTTGAAGTCAGTGGTGAACAGTGTCAAGGGCTCTTCCTCCACAATGTTGTAGATGAGTCGCAGTCCCTCTGGACTCCGGGCCTGGGTGTGGAGAATTGGGGTATACAGTGTGATATTTTCTGGTACCCTGACTTTGTAGTAAGGACTCTGAAACAGTGGGTGGGATTTATTTCTCACTGTGACAAGTACCTCTTCCACAGTCTGGAGGGATGGTGTCCCTCCATCCTGAGCAATGACTTTGAGGCGATACTTATTTAAAGTCTGATAATCAAAGGGTTTCTTGAGTGATATGTCCCCAAGATAAGGGTCGATTCGGAAATATGTGTAATCTTCTGCAAACGCATATGTGATGGCCCCATTTGTCCCCAAGTCCTCGTCAGTGGCAGATACTTGAAAGAGGACATCCCCTGGCTCGGTGCCATCTTGGATGATTGTATAATAGGGCAGATGCGTGAATTTGGGGGGACTGTCATTGACATCTTCAACAGAGACTCTGACTGAAGCCTGGGCCACCCTCTGAGGAGTCCTATTGTCCCTCACTTCCACTGCTAGCTCGTGGCTGTCCTGCTGCTCGCGGTCAAACGCCACCCCCTTTGTCTGCAACACACCTGCTGACTGGACCATACGAAACATATCTGTGCCGTTCAAGAGGAAGTAGGAAAGGGTGTCATTCAAGAGATTGCCCTGGGCGCCAAGAATCACCAGGGCCTTTCTGTCCTGCAAATTCTCCTTCACTGCTGCCCAATAAACATCCTGGTCAAACTGTAAGCTTTTGTCAAGGACTTCGGTCAAATAAATCTTAACCAGTGCGGTGTCTTGATATAAGCCATCAGAAGCCCTGATGGTGAGCTTCCGAGAGGGTCCCAGGAGAGCAGGATTCAGCACAGAGAGGTGACCAGTGATGGGATGAATGGTGACAGCATCATCCGCATTGCCGGTTCTGATGCTGTAACTGACTTCCGAGTCATCATCGTTGGCCTGCACCACAAGGAGCGTCATACCTGGGTGGAGAGGTCCGACTAGCGCCGCCTCGTATATCTGTTCTGAGAACCTGGGAGGAGAGTCATTCACATCCCTGACCTTGATGATGACCTGGGCAGGCCTGGGTGCAAATAAGATGGGGCTTCCTTGGTCATGGACATAGACACTGAATTGGAAAGAGGGTGTGCTCTCATAATCCATCTCTGAGACGATCGTGAGGGTTCCCATGCTGGGATCAATTCTGAAAAACTTTGAGGCCTCTGGCTCCAAAATTTTATATACCAACAAGGAATTAGCTTCCTTGTCGCCGTCGGAGGCATGAATCACAAAGGGGTTGTTGTGGTTATCCATGATCATGCTGTACAGAGGAGCTGCTTCACTAATTTGGCCCACAAAGGTTGATTTTAAGAAAATGGGGGCATTGTCATTTTCGTCAATTATGTCAACAAGCACCACGACATCAGCAAATGCGCCTGCCATGTTGCTGCCTCGGATTTTCAGCTGGTAAGATGAGATTTTCTCATGATCCAAGTTCTTCTGGGTAGAAATGAGGCCAGAATATGAGTTCATAGAGAAGACACCATGCTTGTTACCCTCTCTTAACTCATAGGTAACTTCAGAAGAGCTCGCAGCAGAGACAAGAAGGATTGGGGAACCAACAGGGATCGATTCGGGGATCTCTACAAAGTACTCAGTTTTTGAAAAGATGGGGACACTCCGATCTGAGGGATAGACATGAATGATCACTGTAGCCAGGTCATGCCACTGTGGGGAGCCTTGATCTTCTGCCTTCACTGTCAGAGTATGCTGGGCGTGATTTGTCTGATCAAGTTTCCGGGCTAGAGTGATAATACCTAGTAGGGTATTGATGTTGAAGAAATCTTTGCTGCTCCCTGAAACAGAAGATAAGACAAACCAAAGTTTACCATGCCCTCGAGAGGTACCAAGTTGACTTTCTAGATCAGTAAAGAGGCTGTCACACAAAACTTGGGCAGAGCAAATTTGCATCCAGTGCCACCCTGAATATAGTGTATAGGGTAGATAAAGACTTTATAAAATTTCTAACCCCGTGCACATAGTAGGTGCTTCATATCACTAGCTGTCTATCACTATCTCTTAGCTTCGATTATCACTAAGTCTCTGGGATACAACTTAAGCTATAGACCAAAGCTGTAGTAAGTCTTTGAAGCAAAGAAAGGAGACTTACACTTTGTGGGAAAAGCACCCTCCACCCTACAAAAGGGATGCCTTTGTAGGAAAAGCTGCTGTCACATTATACGGCTTTTTTATCCATCCTTTATATAAGTGTCAATAGGTTTGGTTTTATGCTTGACAGATGAAAACTGTAGATATAAAGTCATAAACTGTCAGAATTGGCAGAGACTTTAAAAACTACCTTGTTGGCTGGGTGCAGTGGCTCAAGCCTGTAATCCCAGCACTTTGGGAGGCCAAGGTGAATTGCCTGAATCCAGGGGTTCGAGACCAGCCTGAGCAACTTACTCATCTCTACAGTAAATAAAAGAATTGGCTGGGCATGGTGGCAAGCGCCTGCAGTTCCAGCTACTTGGAAGACTGAGGCAGAAGGATCGCCAGAGCCCAGCAGGTTGAGGCTGTGGTGGCCACGATTGACAGAGTGAGATGCCTATTCAAAAAAAAAAAAAAAAAGTTACCTTGTCAATCTCCCTTCTGGTCCAGTTCTTCAGCAAAGGTCTTTGTACCACACCCAAATTTCCTAAGCTTCAGGTATTCTCACACAACCTTTATAATGTTATCAGTACCCACCCAGTGCCTCTGCTGTTATATGCTATTATTTAGTGGATATTTTCCTTTAAATTGATTGAGTCGTAAAATTTGATGGATACTTTTAAATGCAACATGACATTGCATCTTTAAAAAGAATACCAGGCCAGGCTTGGTGGCTCAGCCTGTAATCCCACGCTTTGGGAGGCTGAGGTGAGTGAATTGCCTGAGCCCGTGGGTTCGAGACCCACCAGGGCAACTTGGCGAGACCTCATCTCTACAATAAATCAAAAAAAAAATTAGCCGGGCATGGTAGTGCATGCCTGTAGTTCCAGCTATTTGGAAGACTGAGGCGAAAGGATCACCGGAGCCCAACAGGACGAGGCTGCAGTGACCGGGACCGGCCACTGCACTCCAGTCTGGATGACAGAGTAAGATTCCAACTCAAAAGAAAAAAAAAAAAGGAATACCATATTGCGGGCCATAAATTCAAGTCAGTGAAAAAATAGTGTTATTTAAATCTCGACAAAGTCGATTGCTCAAAGGTCTAAGCCTAAGACCTCTTTCTTTGTTAAAAGCAAAGAGTAAGGTGGGGGTGGCGGGTACATTTAAAGCCCAGACCAAAAGTTATTTGTACCCCCTAATGCTATTGAAATAGGAGAGGAAAAAAAAAAAGCAGAGTGTAGTAAGTATTAGAGAGGACTTAAAGAGATTCTAGCACCCAGTGGAGACATTGTTCTTGATTTGATCAGGAAGTTTGAGAATTGTAAAAGGTGTGTTTTCTCCATGCCCGATTGCCTTTAAATGCCATAACTGAGGAACACTTCAATCATTTCACTTCCACCAAGGTGCAGGTTTCACACTAGAGAAAACAGTGCTCTCTACATTTCTTATTTACTGTTACACAGGTGCATATTTTATTATTTCAACAGCAAAGCACGTGGCCAAACTTCATCATGAAACCTTCCATCTGGTTTCTCCACTGCTGAAGCCTCTCTCCAGCTGATTAGTCAGGTGACTGATTATGTAGGTGCTAAGTTCAAAGAGCATGGCTTCAATGAGGAAATAGCAGTTTTCAGTGATTCCTAAATTACTTGAAACAACCTGAACAGAGTTCTAATTCTAATTTCTAGTGTTATACTGATGAGAAAAAAAAGTCAGGGCACAAAATTCTGTATTCATTATGGTCTCAAGATTACAGAAAGATTCATAAGAAAAGATGAGAAGGAAATACACAAAATTATCATCTCTGGGTGAGGAAAAGTATGCGGGTGCTACGTTCTTTTCACATTCCTGTATTTTCCATTTTTTCTCAAAAATAGACGTGTTACTTCTATAATCAGAAGAATATTTAAAAACTGACCTTATCTGTAAAATAAAATGATTACTCCATCAGTGAGGCTGCCAATGAGAAAATGAGGCCAGGCACAGTGACTTATAACCAATTATCTCAGCGCTTTTGGAGGTTGAGGTGGGAGGAACACACTTAGGGCCAGGAGTTCGAGACCAGCCTGGGCAACATAGTGAGACCCCCATCTCAACAAAAAATAAGTTAATTAATTAATCAGGCATGGTGGCATGTACCTGTAGCCCCAGGTACTTGGGAAGCAGAGGAAAGAGGATCACTTGAGGCCATGAGTTTGAGGCTGCAATGAGCTATAGATCATACCACTGCATTTCAGCCTGAGTGATAGAGTGAGACTCCGTCTCTAAAAATATTAAATACATACATAAATAAATAGGCTGGGTGCAGTGGATCATATCTGTAATTCCAGCATCTTGGGAGATGGAAGACTTTTGAGCCCAGGAGTTTGAGACCAGTCTGGGCAACATAGTGAGACCTTATCTCTACAGATTTTTTTTAAAAATTAGAAAAAATTAGTCAGCTGGGTGAAGTAGCTCATGCCTGTAAATCCCAACACTTTGGGAGACAGAGGCAAGAGGATTGCCTGAGCCCAGGAGTTTGGGACCAGCCTGAATAACTTGGCGAGACTTTGTCTCTAAAATAAATCAAAAAAATTAGCTAGGTATTGTGATGCATGCCTGTAGTCCCAGCTATTTAGGAGGCTGAGGCAGAAGGATGGCCTGAGCCCAGCAGGTCAAGGCTGTGGTGGCTATGAGCATGCCACTGCACTCCAACCTGGGCAACAGAGTGAGACTTCAACTAAAAAAAAATTAGCCGGGTATGGTGATGCGAGCCTGAGTCCCAGCTACTCAGGAGGCGGAGGCAGAAAGATAGCCTGAACCCAGGAGGAGGTCGAGGCTGTATTGAGCCAAGTGAGCCGTGATCCTGCCACTGCACTGTGGCCTAGGCAACAGAGTGAGACCCTGACTCTAAATAAATAAAAAAGAAAACTGCGATATTTCATAAATCACAAAAAGTAAGCAATTTATGCATTGTAGTTTACATTATTCTTTAGAGGTTAGTAGACTGTTTTCATATGGCAGCTGGGTTTTTTTTTTGTTTTTTTTTGTTTTTTGAGCTGAAGTCTCACTCCTTCCCCCAGGCTGGAGTGCCGTGGCACGCATGCTCATAGCCACCGCAGCGTCGACCTTCTGGGTTCTGGCGATCCTTCCACCTCAGCCTTCCAAGTAGCCGGAACTACAGAAGCGCGCTACCACGCCTGGCTATTTTTTATTTTATTGTAGAGATGAGGTCTCACCAAGTTGCCTGGGCTGGTCTCGGACCCGCAGTCTCAGGCAATCCACTCGTCTTGGCCTCCCAAAATGCTAGGATTACAGACTGAGCCACTGAGCCCAGCTGGCAGCTATTTCTTAAAGCCACTGTCATGCAGTAAAGGAACATTATACTTCTCAGCGACAGAGAGCAAGTCGTGTTCACCCTTGTTCCTCTACAGGAACTAGCTCTAGGAAATATTGGTTATTATTAAAGATAATTATTATGATTAAATATCATTAATTATGCATTATTAACTATTACAAATTATCATTAATAACTAGTTGGATACTGACTATCATCACTTATGTTACATTAATTACTTGTAATTAACATTTATCAATGATAGTAATAATCCCTGGCATTCGTATGCTGTTTCACAGTTTACAACATATATTAACATATATTTTCTCTTTTAACCTTTACAACTACTTTCTAGCGCACGTAATAGTATTCCTATTTTTGAGATGAAGAAAAATATATAGTAGCTACTAAATCACCATGTGACCTCAGCAGAAAACAGAAATTACTCCTAAAATTATGACATGCACCTTGTACGATATTCATAGGTCTTTGCTAATGTACATGCATGAAGCTATGCTTTTTTAAAAATTAGTAGTATTTTTTAGTTGGAGACTCACTCCATCGCCCAGGCTGGAGTGCAGTGGCACACTCACGGCCACCCCAGCATCAACCTGCAGGGCTCTGGTGATCCTTCCGCCTCAGTCTTCTAAGTAGACAGAACTACAGGCATGTGCTACCATGCCTGGCTAATTTTTGATCTATCGTAGAGACGAGGTCTTGTCAAGTTGCCGGGGCTGGTCTTGAACCCACGGGCTCAGGTAATCCTCTGACCTCGGCTTTCCAGAATACTGGGATTACAGGCTGAACCACTGAGTCCTATTACATGTTTAAATGTTGCATGGATCATAAGCATCTTCCGCATTTATGGCATTGGTGGCTTTATATAACATATATGCAAATTATCCCACAACTTGAGTAGTCCCTTAGCTATTGTTTTTTTTTGTTTGTTTTTAGTTGGAGTCTCACTCTGTCGCCAGGGCTGGAGTGCAGTGGCACACTCACAGTCACCGCAGCTTCGACCTGCTGGTCTCAGGCGATCCTTCCACCTCCCTCTTCCAAGTTGCTGGAACTGCAGGCTTGCGCCACACACACACACACACACACACACACACACACACACCTGGCTAATTTCTTGATTTACTGTAGAGACGCAGTCTCGCCAACTTGTACAGGCTGGTCTCGAACCCCTGGGCTCAGGCAATCCTCGCGCCTCTGCCTCCCAAAGTGCTGGGATTATAGGTATGAGCCACCATGCCTGGCCCCTTAGCTATTGTTATTACCATCTTCAAAAGTGCATGAACTTAGGTCGCTGTAGTCCAGGGAATGTTCTAGAATGACCATGTGCCAAGGCTCAGAGAGCTCAGATGCAAATTCATGCCTTAGTGCCTTCCTTTGTTTCTAAATCACCTGTCTCCATCCTCAAACTCCCAGCCCAGCCTCTCACCTTTCAGGAGGGAGTAGTGGACCTCAGCATTGGCTCCCCGGTCAGCATCTACGGCTCGAACCTGCAGAAGCTCCGTGCCAGGGGCTGTGGTGTCAGGAACACTGGCCACATAATGGAGCTGGGTGAAGCGGGGTGGGTGGAGGTTTTCATCCTCCACGTGGATGGTCACCCACACGAAGTTCCTCTGGATGGGAATCTCCTGGTCTCGGACCTGTGGGCCCAACAGGACAGCAGGGTCAGTGGAGCGGTGAGTGGAATGGGAGGAGGCAGGTTTAGATCAAGGTCAATGAAGTGGAATGCCAGTGAAAAATATGCCCAACTCTAGCTAACTCTCTGTATTCTTTTATTTATTTATTAGAGATGAGGTCTTGCTCTGTTGTCTAGGTCAGAGTACAGGGCATGATTATATCTCCACAGCCTCTATTTCCTGGACTCAAGCAATTCTCTTGCCTTAGCCTCCTGAGTAGCTAGGGCTACAGACACATACATCATACCCAGCGAATTTTCTTCAGTATTTTTTTGTGGAGATGTGTCTCCTTATGTTGCCCAGGCTGGTCTTGAACACATGATCTCAAGTGATCCTCCAGCCTTGGCCTCCCAAGGCGCCAGGATTTATTCTTTTAAGTCTTTCTCTACTTTATGCTCTTTCTTCCTTTGCAAAAAGCTTAGCTATGCAATGGGTAATTCCACTTCAGGCGTAAGGTAGAGATAGGCAGAGAAGCAACATTTCCCTAAATAGGTCTCAGAGAATATTAACTCTCTTTAAGACGAAGAAAAAATATATATGGTCAAGTAAAATTAGGGAGCACTGAATGAAATGAAGTTAACCAGTTTTCTTTGCTACAGGACTTCTCAGGGCCTTTTATACACACACACACACACACACACACACGATGATAAATAGCACATAAGAGCCCTGACCCTTGAGACAGGTGGCCAGACTCTGATTCTGATTCCACCATAAATCACTGCATGGTAATGAGCAACTCTCTTTTCCTCTGTGGGCCTCAATGTGAGGTAAGAGAAATAGACAGGGGCAGGGCTGGGACTAGGGTAAGGCCAGGGTATCAAGTATTGTGCACATTTAAGGAGGTGCTCACTCTTGGGCAATCAATATGCGGCAAATGACCCAGGGAGTAAGTCCCCCTTAAATCTTGTGCCCTTCATGCCTCACTGGCCTAACTCCAGGCCTGGCTCCCAGTGGGAGGGCCTCTGGGTCCCTTCCAGCTCTGACAACCTCTGGATCCCCATGGTGATCCTGTAGTCATGGAGCAGGGAGAGAATGTTGGGGATATTCGGGCGAGTCCCGAGAAAGCAGAAGCTGACAGGTGTTTTTGTGGCAGCCATTCGGTCTCTGCCTTCACACCCTGGCATCCCTCATGGAAGGTGTCCCTGCCAGCTGTGCAATGATACAACTGTCATGCGAGTGATCGTCATGGGCATTGGCACCACTGGCCCACAGGGAGAGAGAGCCCTCCACATGCCTCCCGGCTTGCCCACCCATACTCCTGCACGCCCACGCTCTTACCCGGTTTCCAGTGGACTCACCATGACCATCAACGTGTGCCGGGAGGGCCCCGCCCCCAGGCCCAGCTTCCCCACAGTCACCAGGACTCCACTGCTTGGGTCCAGCTGGAAGAGGCTGGCGCTGCCCGGGTCCTGGCTGCCATGGATGGTGTAGATGAGGCCTTTGCCCTTGTCTTCATCTGTGGCCTGGACACGGAGGAGCTCGACCCCGGGCAGCGTGTCCTGGGGAACTTTGACCTCGTAATGAGCCTCCAGAAACTGGGGCCGGTGGTGGTTGATGTTGGCGATCAGGAGGATGCAGACCTAGGGAGGATGGGGAGAGGAAAGGTGGGTGACACACTCCATGGGGACAGGCACAGAGTCTGTCTGGATTTCCCTGTGTCATCCAGGCCCAACATAGAGCCTGCCACACAGAAGCCACTCAGTAAACATTTATTGAATGAATGACAGGAACTCTGTTTTTCTTTTTTTTTTTGAGTCAGGGTCTCACTCTGTCACCCAGGCTGGAGTGCAGTGACACACTCATAGCCACCCCAGCACTGACCTGCTGGGCTCTGATGATCCTTCTGCCTCAGCCTTCCAAGTAGCTGGAACTACAGGCACATGCTACCATGCCTGGCTAATTTTTGATTTATTGTAGAGACGAGGTCTTGCCAAGCTGCCTGGACTGGCCTCGAACCCGCGGGCTTAGGCAATCCACTCGCCTTGCCTCCCAAAGTGCTGGGATTACAGGCTGAGTCACCGAGCCTGGCCTCCTCTATTTTTCATTAAACCACTCATTTAGACAAGCCTTGCATGCTGCAAAGATCTAGAGTGGGAGCAAGAACCGTCCCCCCGAGATCACAGAGGAAGCGAGTGTTTCTAGCCAGGACTGGAGCCCAGAACCTCGAGTCCAAGTTCAGTTCAGTGTTGTCGAAAGCTTTCTGTCACCCCATCCCACCCAAGGAGGCCTCCCATCTGCCCTCCATTTAGGAGTGTCTAGCTGAGGCCTCTCACCTGGGTGGCAATGGTGTGGGACCCATCCGTCACCTCCACGGTCAGGTTGTAGTGCGACCTCCTCCTTGTGTCCAGAGGCCTGGCGATGATGAGGCTGCCTGTGGTCTTCTCAATGTCAAAGTCCAGGTCCTCATCCCCCCCTGAAGAGGGAGCGGGGAAAACACACACATCAGGGACAGGCAGCAGTCATAGAGCATGGGGCGTGGCCATCAGAGTTAGACGATGTAGTGGCAAGTGCCAATGTGGTGGGCACTGTGGGCACTCAAGGAAGAACCTGAATCAGGGATTCTGAGACTCTGTTCAGAAACAGCACAATGCCTGGGTGATGGGTTGTGGTTTATCCCCCCAGGAGTCCAAAAAGCTGCAATTTATCCTGTCAAGTTATTGTCAAAGTATTTGAGTTCGATTAATAAATCAAGCTGATTGATAAACTATAAGAATCCAAAATATAGAATAGCATGAAGCTATATAGAAATATATTTCTTTGGGTTGGAGTCTCACTCTGTCACCCAGGCTGGAGTGCAGTGGCACGATCACAGCTCACTGCAGCCTCGACCTCCTAGGCTCAGGCCTCCCCAGTAGCTGGAACTACGGGTGTACACCACCATGCCTGACTACTTTTTGAAATTTTGTATAGACGAGGTCTCACTGTGCTACTTAGGCTGATCTCGAACCCCTGGGCTCAAGCAATCTGCCTGCCTCGTTCTTCCAAAGTGCTGGGATTACAGGCCAGCCCAGAAATATATTTAGTGACATGGCTATATGTTCATGATATATTGTATTTTAAAATGTCTTACAAAACAATATTTTAATAGAATTCCCAGGGTATGTGTGTGCAAAAAAAAATTAGAAGGAAACACTTCAAAATTGCAGCAGTGGATTATCTTCCGATTGGTGGGACTTTAGGTGGTTTTTATTTTCCTTTCTGCTTCATTTGTGCTCTCTCAATGTTTTTTAGGGTATGCATATTAATTATATATTAAAGAAAAAGAAGTCAAGCAATTAAAAGAGCAGCAAGTCATCTGGGCACAGTGGCTCATGCCTGTAATCCCAGCACTTTGGGAGGTGGAGGCGAAGATTGCCTGAGCTCAGAGTTCAAGACCAGCCTGAGCAACATGGCAAGACCTCATCTCTATAATAAATCATAAAATTAGCTGGGTGTGGTGGTGCACGCCTGTAGTTCCAGCTACTTGGAAGACTGAGGCATAAGGATCACCTGAGCCAAGCCAGTCAAGGCTGCTGTGGCTGTGGGCATGCCACTGTACTCCAGCCTGGGTGATAGAGTGAAACTCTGACTCAAAAAAAAGAGCAGCAAATCACAACTGGGAGGAAGCCCAGGAGGCCAAAGAGCTTGGGCCAGGTGCGTCTCCTATGCTCTCTGAGCCAGGCTGGCAGAATCTGTGCTAGGACTTTGTGTTCATGTAGGCACTGAAATGCTTAGATGAGAGATGTTTAACCTGGAACCCCTGGATGGGTTTCAGAACATCTATAAATCTTCTAAATGTGATGCAAATTTACCTTTGCTTGTATGTGCACACAACTTTCAGGAAGAGGCCCTAAGCATTCATCAGATTCCCAAAGGGCTCTGTGAACCCCAGATCTTGAAACAAAACTTTGATTTAGAGACAGAGAGGAATTTCGGAGAGGCCATCAGAGCTGGGATCCAAGTGCCTCCTAGAATGAGAATGGGCACCTTCATCTTGAGGATAGCATCTGGGACCAGAACATTGAGCAAGGCCCCGGGGTCAGCTGACCACAGGCTTGAGGTCAATAAAATCAACTCTACCCTGATTTCCACATTGAGGCAGAAAAGGAAGTGCAGAGCTGGTGCTTTTCTGCTCTGAGCCTGCCAGGCACTTGGGGGTAACTGAGGCAATGACAACTCTGGCTGGGGTTCCTGGTGAGACACAGATGCCCCACCCAAGATCATGACTGGAGTGAAAACATGGCATTCCTATTGCCCACCACACAGAGAACCAGGGAAGGGGCAATCCCCACTCGGGGCCAAAAGAGGGACTCTCAGGAAGCATGACCTTTCAAGGGGACAGTACCAGGAGTACTCAAGCTGGTCTGTAAGGACAGGAGAGGCTGGCCCTCCTGAGGCCTGGCCTCACCTGAGATGTTGAACCAGAAGAGGCCAGGCCGGCCCTCCACACTGATGACCCCCACCATGTGGTTCACAGGGTCTGTCTCCATGACCGTGAAGCTGTACTGGGTCTCATCAAAGGCCAGGGGGATAGAGGACAGCCGGGGCCGGGGAATCCACTCGATGTGCAGCCGGACACTGGCGGAGAGTGATGGCTGCCCGCCGTCGGTGGCCTTGATCTGAAAAGAGGTCAACAGCAAAGCAGAGGGTCAGCGCCAAGAAACAAGAGGACCGGGCAGCCAGGCTGATGGCAGCATGCCCTGTGGTCAGACCAGCTGGACCCTCATCTCCTCATTGGTTCACTTGACACACCTTGAGGGCTTGCTGTAAACAGTCCCCCTGCTCATTGCTGCAGGCACAATGGTGAACAAAACATTTAACCTAGGCTCAAGGGTTAGTATCAAAATAATAAATGCCATTACTGCCCAAAGACCTTCTGTGTGCTCCTTCCTCAACTGGACTTTACATACACAGGCCTCTTCCTTTCCCAACTACTACAGACATAATTCATTGGAAGGTACTGAGTTCTTACTATCAACAGCTTGCTTCAAGATCTTCACATGCAATGTCTTGTTCAAGCCTCACAACAGTACAGGAAGAAATTGGGGCTCTGTGTGGTGAATTCACCTACCAGGTTGGCCAGCAGTGAGGCTGGGGTTGAGTCCAAGTTGACTGCTAGAAGAACCCATACACTAACTGATATAGTGCTTTGGATGTTTTTCCTCTCCACATCTCATGTTGAAATGCAGTCCCCAATGTTGGAGGGGGAACCTAGTGGGAGGTGTTTGAGTCATGAGGGAATGAGGGCAGCTTGTTGCCATTCTGGGGGCAATAAGTGAGTTCTTGCTCTATTAGTTCACATGAGAACTGATTGTTTAAAGCAACCTGGCACCATCTCCTCCTCCTCTTGCTCTGCTCTCACCACAGGACATGCCTGCTCCCTCTCCACCTTTCGCCAGGATTACAAGCTTCCTGAGGCTTCACCAGAAGCCCAGCAGATGCAGAACTGTGAGCCAAAATTAACCTATCTCCTATATAAGTTACTCAACCTCAGGTATTCCTTTATAGCAATGCAAAATGGACTGATTCAGAAAATTGGTACCAGGAGTGGGTTGTTGCTATAAAGATGCCTGAAAATGTGGAAGGGGCTTTAGAACTGGATAACAGGTAGAGGCTGGAAGAGTTTGGAGGACTAGGAAGAAACTTTCCCAAATGAGGGAAAGTTTGGAACTTATCCAAGACAGGTTAAGTGGTTGTGACCAAAATGTTCTTGGTCACAATGACAGTGCAGACTAGGCTGATGAGGTCTCAGATGGAAATGAGGAGCTTACTAGAAACTGGAGCAAAGGTCGTCACCTTGTTGCCTTAGCAAAAAGCTTCGTTTCATTGTGTCCATACCTTAGGGCTTTATGGAAGGCTGAACTTAAGAGAGATGACATAGGGTATCTGGCTGAAGAAATTTCTAAGGAGCAGAGCATTCAAGAAATGGCATAGTTCCTTCTAACAGCCTTCAATCAGATAGGGGAGCAAAGGAATGACTTAAAGTTGGAACTTATAATTAAAGGGGAAGCAGAGCAGAAAAATTTGGAAAATTCGCAAATGGGCTGTGCGGTAGAGAAGGAAAACACATTTTCAAGAAGGCATCTAAGGGTCTGCAGAACAGTCATTTGCTAGAGAGATTTACCTGAAAAGGGCCTTGAAGGCGTCTCAGAGAACTTTGAAGCAGCCCCTGCCATTACAGTCCCAGAGGTTTGGGAAGAAAGACTAGTTTTAGGAGCCAAGCCCGGGGTCACCGCTGCCCTGTGACCCCTCAGGATTCTGCTTCAGGTTCAAAGGGCCTCAGATACAGCTTGGGCAGCTGCTCTGGAGGGCTCAGGGCTGGTAGCTAAAATAACCCTTCTTCCTTATAAATTACCCAGCTTCACGTATTTCGTTTCTTTCTTTCTTTTTTTTTTTTTTGAGTTGAAATCTCACTCTGTCACCCAGGCTGGAGTACAGTGGCACACTCACAGTCACCGCAGCCTTGACCTACTAGGCTCAGGCAATCCTTCCACCTCAAGATTTCCAAGTAGCTGGAACTACAGGTGTGTGCCACCATGCCTGTCTAATTATTTTATTTATTGTCGAGATGAGGGCTCACCAAGTTGCCCAGGCTGGTCTCAAACTCCTAGACTCAGGCAGTCCTCTTGCTTCTGCCTCCCAAAGTGTTGGGATTATAGGTGTGAGCTACCGCGCCCAGCTTAGTTGTCTTTATAGCAACGTGAAATGGACTGACACCCTAGCTATTTGATATCTTGACTTCCTACAAGAAAAATGTCCTTATTCCCATTTTATAGATGATAAAACAAAGATTCAAAGGGGTTAAATGACTTGTCTCAGGTCACACAGGTGCAAAATGGCAGTGCTAGGCTCAGAACCCAGGCTTATCTTGATTGCTAAGCCCCTGTTCCTCTCACTGTCACTGAAAGTATTATCTCTAAGAATAGAGAGGATTTCCCAGGCAAGAACCTTATTGCCTTCAAAGATGAAGACCCAGAATTCTGATCCTTTGGCTGAAGACAGGATTCCCAGCTTCTCTGTGAGAAGACCAGGGAGAGGCCGGGCTCGGTGGCTCAGTCTGTAATCCCAGCACTTTGGGAGGCTGAGGTGAGTGGATTGCCTGAACCCGCGGGTTCGAGACCCACCTGGGCAACTTGGCGAGACCTCATCTCTACAATAAATCAAAAAATTAGCTGGGTGTGGTAGCGCATGCCTGTAGTTCCAGCTACTTGGAAGGCTGAGGCGGAAAGATAGCTGGAGCCCAGCAGGTCAAGGCTGCAGTGGCCGAGAGCAGCCACTGCACTCCAGTCTGGGAGACAGAGTGAGATTCCAATTCAAAAAAAAAAAGACCAGGGAAGGGAGCACCACTTCCCTCATGCCGGCTATCCGTCCTCCTCCTGTATTAATGACATGAACCAGTCATGGCCTCCCTACTTTCACTCACCGTCAGGATGTTGTACTCCCCGGCTGTGAAGATGCTGCTGGATGACACCACGCCTGTGACTGGCTCAATACCGAAGCCCTCCTCATCACTCTCCTCGATACTGTAGGTGACCCTGCCATTAACACCCTCATCCAGGTCGGAAGCCACCAGCCTGTACACAGGCCCCAGGGACACTGGGCTCAGCCTCTCTGGCAGGCGGACATTGAAGAGCTTGTGGGAGAACATCGGTGGATTGTCATTGATGTCCAAGATGCGTACTACCACCCTGGAGGTGGACTTCAGCGGGGGCTCCCCATTGTCCAGCACAGTCACCTGGGGACAGAACAGGCATGAGCACCCGAGTTGCCAAGTGCAGAGTAGGTTATAGGTTGAACTGCCACAAGCTTTCCACTGCTTTTGGCAGCCTAGAGATGTCAGTCGGTCTGCTCTTTGGTATTTGCTGGTGATTTTTGTTATAATAACCTCACCTACTTGGAACTCAGCTCTCTGGTAATGCACCCACAGGAAAGCCAGTGACAACAGAGAAAGAAGCCAGAAAGAACTGGATAGAGACAAAGTCAGCGTCTCTAGACAAGGACGAAAGCACTCTTTATGCGAGAAGACCCGTGGGCCATTTCTCAAAGACTATTTCTTTTTATTTGCTCATAATTCTAATAAGCTTTGTTTTCTGTTTTTGTTTGTTTGTTTGTTTTAAGCTACTCCAGATTAGAAAAAACAAATGAGAAGATGTTTTCTGAAGCAACGGGTGGTACCTTTTGGGTTAGAATGTGGCCCAATGTGTGAAATGAAACTCACAATCAGGGAAAAGGCCCCAAACAGTGTCAGAGCCAGGAGTTATTTCGTATAGGGGCAAACCATTCCAAGCATCAGTAGTCTGAGATATCATATGAGATAGGACGTTTCCACCCAAAATAGTTGCCAATTTTTAAAATATTTTGGTGCTTAAAGGTAAACATTGGGCCAGGCATGGTGGCTCACATCTGTAATCCCAGCACTTCGGGAGGTGGAGGCGAGAGTATTGCCTGAGCCCAGGGGTTCGAGACCTGACTGGGCAACTTGACTGGGCATCTCCTCAATAAATAAAATTAGCTGGGTGCAGTGGCCTGTGCCTATAGTTCCAGCCACTAGGAAGGCTGAGGCGGAAGGATCTCCTGAGCCCAGCATGTCGAAGCTGTAGTGGCCGTGAGCAGTCTACTGCACTCTAGCCTGGGTGACAGAGTGAAACTCCAACTCAAAAAAAAAAAAAAGTAAATATCTGTTTATCTGTTACTGAACAGATACAGAAAATGCTTCAGTCCCTGGGAATTCTAGAAGGCCGATTAGCTGCTGTTCATTATAAAACCTGCTTCTTACAAAGTGAGGAGAATGTGCAAAGCCTGTAAGTATAGAAAACAAAATTTATTTCAAATCTGCCTAGGAATACGTATCCTTCCCTCCTGATGCCTTTAAGACCAGAAAAATTGCCTACTCCCAGGTTATGGACAGCTCAGGAAACAGCTGACTTCCCACCTGACCTCCTCTTCTGGCTTAACCCCCTCGTATGTTTTAGATGCTGTTCCCTCCAAATCTCATGTTGAAATGTGATCCCCAGTGTTGGAGGTGGGACCTAGTGAGAGGTGATTGGGTCATGGGGTGGATCTTTAGTGCTGAAAAGAGAAGGGGAATCATGTGACACACCAGCTCCCCTTTCCCTTCCACCCTAATTGGATGCTTTCTGAGGCCTCACCACAAGCAGATGCCAGCACTGTGCTTCTTGTATAGTCTGCAGAACTGTGAACCAAATAAACCTCTTTCCTTTTTAAATTGACCATCCTCAAGTATTTCTTTATAGCAATGCAAAACAGACTAATACACCCCTCTAGGTCACTGACCAAAGCCTCTCATTGGAGAGGCACCAGGAATGCCTATGTGATTTTAGAGACGTCCTAAAAAGAGCATGGAGGTCTTGGTTTTCATCCTGGCTCTGCTGACCATGCATGATTCTCTTTCTCTGTGCCAAGGGGGGTGAACTAGAAACCAGCTTCAAGTCCATAGCACAAGTGTGCTGCTCCCCGCTCCTACACTCACAGCAGGCATTACTAATCAACCCATTGCTCCTGCCTTTCTCATCACTGAAGAACCAGTAAAGACCCAAGTGCGGTCACCACCAGCCACAGCAAGGCAAGGCTCAAGGGTGCCCTAACGCCCTGAGTCCAGCACCCTCCTCAGCCACAGTGTTAGATGCAGATGTGGCTCTAAGGCCTGGTGTGGCTCCATAAATGATCCTCAGGAAGCTTCCCAATCCTGAGGACAGGTTCTCCACCATTACTCACCTCTAGTACGTGTTCATCCTTGCTCTCTCTGTCCAGCAGCCGGGCCGTGGAGAGGAGACCTAGGGAGACAGCAGAAGAGAAACGTGAGCAGAGGGCTCCCAGGGCTGGAACAAGCTCAGAAATTACACCCAAATCCCCTATGAGAATTCTGGTCATTGGAGAACAAGGACGACTTACAGTGGTTCGACTTTACTTTCCACTTTACTGGAGTGCGAACACAATCCACATTCAGTGGACACCATATTTCAAAGGCCCACACAATCATTATTTTTCACTTTCAGTTCAGTATCCAATCAATTCAACATCTGCCTATAAACTAGGCTTTGTGATAGATGATTTTGCCCAACTGTAGGCTAATGCAAGTATCCTGAGCCACAGTTAAGGAGGGCGGGGCTAAGCGGTGACGTCTACTTACGATATTTTCCATCTATGGGCTTATGAGGATATAGTCCCAGGCAAGGAGCATCTGGACTATGGAGAAATGGAGTGCTGGGGGTAAGGGAGCTACAACTCACCCCTCCCCACTCCTTCCCCGCCTGCTTAAGCAACGTGTTGTTTTTGCTGCCAACACCTGCGTCCTCAAGGTTACATGACCACCAGCACCAGCCTGCTTCCTCAAGGCCATGTCTAGGAGCTACGTGACCACCAACTCCTACTTCCTTAGAACTACGTGTGCTATGCGACCACCAGACCCCAGCTGGGGGTATAAGAGGGACATGCCAAAAGAACAGGCTGCTGGTTCTTCTTTAGGGACAGTCAATCCTTTCCTTTCCCTCTAATGAATTAAATTTTCTTTTCCCTCTAATGAATTAAATTTTCTTTTACCACTCAGCTCGTCTCTTTCTCCGCACTGTCTTACACTGGGGAAGGGAAAGGGGGAGTGAGGAGAGAACAGGAGATGCCACGTTAGCCAAAGTGTCTACCTCCTTCCTGCTTTCACTGCTAGGCAGGGGTCAAAAATCCAGCCATTAGCACACCTCAAGCAGCTGCCTAGGCAGAACGGTCACCAGCTGGAAGCTACCAGCAGGGCTACTGGTGCACACAGGGACCCATCCATGCTGCCGAGTCACAGTTTGGGTTCCTAGTCACTGAAATTCCTGGAAGATGTGTGTATCTGGAGGTCTTTGGCCCAGCGTTCAGCCCCCCTTCTTTTAATAAATGAGCCCCAAGCCGGGCATGGCAGCTCATGCCCATAATCCTAGCACTTTGGGAGGCAGAGGCAAAAGGATTACCTAAGCTCAGGGGTTCGAGACCAGCCTGGGCAACTTGGCGAGACCTCATCTCTACAATAAATTAAAAAATTAGCCAGGCGCGGTGGCTTGCGCCTGTAGTTCCAGCTACTTGGAAGGCAGAGGCAGAAGGATCACCTGAGCCCAGCATGTCGAGGCTGTGGTGACCGTGAGTGTGCCACTGCACTCCAGCCTGGGCAACAGTGAAACTCTGACTCCAAAAAAAAAAATGAGCCCCAGTTTTCCAGAGGGAAAATCATGCCCCTAACTTCAGTCTTCCCTGATCTGGGTTGAGGCCAACCTCCTCCACATCTGGGGAAGCATCTACAGTCCAAGACTAGCCAGTCGGCACAGTCCACCCACCTGGCCCTCGGTGCTGGCTCTGAGATGGACCAGTCCCCACCTGGTGTGCTAGAGGACAGGGTGAGACCTGAGAGTCGCAGGAAGAGAGACCCTGAGGACAGAACCCCTCAGAGAACTGAGGCCGAGAGATGGGCAGAGGTAGAGCCTTCATGTCCTCGTTTGAACACGGCTGCAGCTGTGCCTATGTCTGTGGCCATCTGTGTCTGGACTTTTCAGTGATGTAAGAGCACACACGTCTTCTATTGCCACAGCCAGCTTGGATCAGGCTTCTCTCTTTTACATCTGAAAAAGTTCTGGCCACTGAGTCAATTCTGAGCCTTCTTATGTTGGGATGGGAGTGGGTAGAGGTCGTGGCAGGGCTGGAGAAGCAATCAGGGTCTTTGGGATCAGGAGGCCTCTGGAAAGAGGCTGCCTTCTGGCTCAGCCCCTCCTCCTTCTTCCTATGGCACTGCCAACCCTTCCAGCCTCAGTTTCCCTATAGGAAACCCACCAATTCTCTCTGTGCCCTGCTACAGCACTGTGTCTACACATAATCTACGATGCTGTGTTCTTCTGCACTGGCCCTATAATAATTATAGCCAAATCTTCACTCCTGATGGACTGAATTCCTAAAGGCCTGAAACCGTGTTTTATTTATCTTCACATGTCTCCGCAGCATGTGTGAAGGCCTGGTAAGGGCAGATACCATTAAATACTTGCCGAGTAAATGAAACAATCTTGGGCTTAACAAGAGACAGCTGTGGATGCTGGTAGAGAGTCATTCATCTATTGAACAACTATATTATTATTATAATTTTGAATTGGGATCTCACTCTTTTGCCCAGTCTGGAGTACAGTGGTGAGATCTGGCTCACTGCATCCTGGACCTCCCAGGTATAAGCGATCCTTCTGCCTCAGCCTCCTGAGTAGCTGGGACGACAGGCACACACTGCCACATCTGGCTAATTTTTGCATTTTTTGTAGAGATAAGTTCTCATTATGTTCACCGGGCTGGTCTTGAATTCCTGGGCTCAAACGATTCTCCCACCTCGGCCTCCCAAAGTGTTGGGATTGCGTGAGCCACTGCACATGGCCTATTTAGCAATTACTTATTGAGCTCCTACTGTGTACCAGCTACTGTGTGCCACAGGTGGTGGGCACAAACAGGACACAAACAGTTCCTTTTGTTGGGAAACTTTGAAGTCTAGTGAGGGGTCTGGGTAATTCATGGAATAATCACACAAATGAACGTAATATCCTGCGTTGAACAAATGGGGTAGGCAGTGCTAGAAAGTGAGTTACGGTACCAGGAAAATCTTCTCTAAGGAGAGAGCAGCTGGGTAGGGATCTGAAGAACAGGAGTAACAGACAAAAGAAGAGACACCCGCTAGGAAGAGCAGCCTGTGCAAAGCCCAGTTTTTTTGTGAGGGGACTGGAACCCAGGGAGTCACAGCACAGGAGGCCAAGAGGAAGCCAGAGAGAACAGCAGGGCGGGTCAGGCACCAGTTTGTGGGACAAGCAGAGACTGACTCTATGTAAGGGCATGAGAAGCCATCCCAGGTGTCCAAGTAGGGAAGTGGGTCAAAGTAATGGTAGTGATGAGAAAGTTGGGCTTAGGCCTCCTTGCTGACTTATTCCTTAATTTATTTTTTTTTTTGAGTTGGAGTCTCACTCTGTCGGCCATTCTGGAGTGCAGTGGCACGCTCCCGGCCACCGCAGCCTTGACCTGCTGGGCTCCGGTGATCCTTCCGCCTCGGCCTTCCAAGT